TGTAAACCTGAAAATTTAGACTTGCTAATGGGAGGGTGGAGCTCATCGATTAATGCAAAATTTGAAGTAGAAGCTAATACTTTCTGCGAGGGAGTGACAATTGATCTCTTACCAAGAAACCAAAAATTGCTTCCACTGAAGCTAGGTGAAAAGAAATTTGTTGAAGTTTAATACGTTTGGGGCCCATTTGATAGGACATTTGAAAAGTAAAAAACTGTTTCAAAGACTAAAAATCTACTTTTTAACATATTTGAATAATTTTCTGAAAGTACTTTGTCAATGAAATTGGCATCAAGGAACTCTTGTATATTTAGCATAAGCAAATGCATCTCAAACTAGCAAAAAGACCTATCATAAAGCAAAAAAATACAGTTGCAAATTCAACTGCTTTTATAGTTTACAGTGATCCCAAGCGTGGCCAGCATGGTGGTAACAATTATTGGAAGATCGAAACAAGAATTATCATTTAAATCCAGGATGCAGACAAGCAAGCAGACTGATAGCTGAGGATGCTCTTCATTCAGATTGTCTCTGTCCCAAAACTGGAATATCCTCGTATCGCTTCTGCATTTAAACAGTAATAAGATTAAATTAGAAATCTATCAAGTCCCGAGCTAGAGTTCAATGATGCTATTGAACAAAAGACCTTCGAACTAGCATGTTATACAAGTATTTATGGCATAATGAAAGGCAAGCAATTAAGATGGAAATCTCCAGCTGTGACCATTACGAACGTGAAATTTCATAGCCATGAAGGTCAATAATGAAAATGAAAATAAAAAAAATTTCCAGTGTAAGAGAAGAACTTGCTAAAAGAATAAAGAGTTTGTTTGGTTGTTTTGATGCTTTGTATGCCATTTAATATAGTATTTTATGTTCGTACATTCAAACATCACTTAGAGCTTGTTTGCTAGAGCTTTTAAGCCAATTTGAATCAATTTTTTGACCGTTATTTCATTATTCCAACCGTCATTTTTTAAATTTTTCTCCCACAGGTAGAACCCACTTTATCTCTATCAGTCAAAAAATCAATTATCAAAATTCCTACCAAACAAGTACTTAGTATGGGTGGCTGTGCATAAACGCTGCTTTTCTAGATGTAAGTCCCAAACTTGTTCTGTTAGTTAAAAAAGGTAAATTTTGAAATCACACTAATTGAAAAAGGTAAATCTGTAATCACATTTTGCAAAAAAAAAAGAAAAAAAATTAAAAAAAAGAAAAAGAAAATAGAAGCTAACTTAAATAACTTAGTTTATAAGCACAACCAAAAATGATCTCAATATTACTTAAAAGTTTTGATTCATGCAAAATTCTAATTTTCAAGCATGAATACAAAATAATGTCATAGCCACTTGACATGGATCACGAAGAAAGATCTATCCTAAATTTTCAGTATAAGTTCAACAACAATCTATGAGTCATTGGATCGTCTTGGATTAGAAGTTAGAACTCACTTTATCATAAAATGGAACAGCTGACAAGTTTCATGAAAAATCCGTACACGAGGTCCCGAAGAAGGGCACCACAGTTATACACACTAAAACCAGTTTTATTCCTTCACAAACACCATCTTGCTATAAAATATTGAGGTAACAAGTTTATTTACATATCAAAAATCATATTTGTAAAGTTCATTACTTAAGAGTTGTATGACAAAGCTTTTGATAAAAGTTCTTTTAACAAATTTCAATAAAAGTTAATGAAAAGTGAAAAGTGAAGAATAAGTGTCCTGTAGTATTTTCCTCGAGGTTAATACTGACGGTCAAGAAACTTTTGCAAGTATTTGCTGAACTTCAATATTTTTTTTCCATCATCCCATAAACTCTAAACAAGTGCCGTTCTCCAGAAACAAACATTTAATAATAAATGGATTGACACTTCTTAGAAAGTTGAAGGAAAAATCAGTTAGCATTTAGAGTCAAACAGGCAAACGATATTTATTATAATGATGAAAAATTAGCAGACACACCACATCTAGTTCATTTTAAAAAATAAAGGCTAAATAGACATCAAGGAGAGATTAAGGAGCATGAACAAAATTCCAGGAAAACTTCAAGGGTTACTAGTTGTTTTTACTCTTCATTCTATATTGCCCATGATAAGTAAAACAGTAGATCGTAGATAATCTTGAAAAGAAGAACAGTTACAATATAGAGATTAAACATGGGACAACATCTTGCAGCAATTTCAAGAATGTAATTTTCTTCACGGAAGAGTGCAAGTAGTGATATACTTGGTCAGGTGTAAAGGTGGTATAATTTATAACTAATTGATGAAGGATGCTCATGAATCACAGTAGAATTGTAGAAGGGGCTAAAGAGGACAGAATAAAAAAGGAGAGAAGAAGAGAGGGAGAGATAGGACGGAAGAGAAATTCCACTCATTACACATAGTATGCATTTTCTGAGCTCCTTTGAGCTCTTAAGCTTCTGGAAACTAGAAGGTAAAACAATTATAGCTAAAATAAATCTGCTTCAATAGCAGGATGAACATTTTAATAAGATATCTCACAGTCTAACAGAAACTTGGAGATGCTTCTAACTGTGATCATAAGCCATGAGCCAATTAGAACATGAGAACTGATCTATGACTACACCTATAACCAATACTTTTATAATTCAAAAAATATACAACAGACAAAACACAAAAACACATGCACTATCTATAAATTAACTAAAATATGCTTCAGTAGAAAAATGAGTTGTTGACATTACCCCGACATTGTTGGCCTCCCACAGCCTATGAACCCCATAGTCCACCACCTGCAGTATCAACAAAGATAAATATATCAAATTAAAAAAAAGGGGCGCAAGGAAACCCGTAACCCTTCACAACATAGATCGCAGTGACCATTCTCTTGGATCAAATAAGATCCAAACTTTTTCCCTAAGTTAATGGAACAAATAAACTCGTTCAATATTATTCAAATTTCAAATCCAAAATCAATGAACACACAAAATTATACAAGATGCAGACATATGATTAACGATACTAACGCGTTCGCCAAGGAAAGCGCCTACGACGACGAAGGTGACATAGACGGAGGTACGGCGCATAAAAACTCTGTAGAGACCTTCCCATACGCCGCCTCCGCTTCTTCTAGCTCCCGGTTCCATTGGGGTTTTTGTTTTTCTTTGAATTGTTCACCGTCAATCTATTTTGGTTTTCGCGGAGGAAATAGAGAGTAATTGGGTTTCACAATTTTACTTTACTAATTTATTGAACCGGACCGGAGGCTCAACCGATACTAGTGAAACAGGATTGGGCACAGCATTTCAACCCAAGTTTTGTGCCCTTTCCCAAACTGAATTATGCCATAAGTATTGCAATATTGAATTATTCTAGTCGTACAATTGGGGTCAACAACGTACTCACAAGAGGGGGGGATTCACGATTATTTTATTCAGCGTGGACTCCTTCCCCATGTGTGTAGTTGTCAACTTTAATTGTACATGTAATATCACTGTACGACATTTCTCCTCAACTTTGTTCCAATTTTTATTTGAGTTCATCCCAACACACATTCAGTTTTTCTATTGTAAATATACAATTTACGGTATGAACATCAGTACTCAACTAATATTTATCTGTTACTTTATTTAGTACTTTGCTACATCCGTTTAAACTAAAAATATGTTTAAGTTTCATGCTACAAAATCTGACGAAGTTTTATGTTACCGGTCAACCTACATTGACCCCCCTTATCCGTACTTGAGCAACTACGAAAATTGGAGGTGGGGTGGGGTTGGTTGACATATGAAAAGAAATAACTAAAGTTCATTCAACATCGCAATTCTTGTTGCTAATTCTTGAAATCAACCCATTACAACCATCATAAACAAGCTCTAAAAGTCAAACCTCTACCAGTATTTTCCACAAAGCAACCAAAGACCAGAATTGATATGAAAAAATATTCTCCTAAAACAATTTAAAAGGCAAGGGTACTCGTGTATAAGAATCGGGAATTGGATGTCACGAATGACAATTTCAAAGCATCTAACATTGTATACTGTCAACCAATTTTGTACAAATTAAAAGATCGAGTACATGTTTTCTTGGTCTTTTGATTTCTAAACTTCCAAAGGTCGTCTGCCATGGCACCGAGCAACTGCAAGCTCACTCACTTTTGACACCAAGGTATATGTGCCGAACAAAAATTAAAGAAGCTCGAAAACTCAATGCTCCAAGCATCAAGAAAAATGCATAGCACATGCAAGCACTGTAGCCGAAAAAGAAGAATGTTTGCAAAACACCGCTCATATTTGATTTGAGGTAGAAATATATGCAATAGGCAAACATGAATAGAGCTGTCGATCCCCCACGCAATACAGACCTGAACCGAAGAAGTTTAACAGGATCAGTATGGCTATATACACGTACAAATGAGTCTAGATTTGCTGTCCCTATCTCTCTGTCCTCATGGCTGTCCCACCAATCAAATTTTGACACATCATTAAAATTTCAAGTGTCAAAAATTTAGTGGGACATGGTTTTCTTTTATGACACTGATATATGTCCCACTAAAATTTTGGCACTTAAAAAAATAATAATGAAGTGTCAAAATTTGATGGGTGGGGCAGCCATGGAGATGGAGAAAACAGGTTTCGACTGTGAACAAATAGAACTATAGAAGGATAAGACAAAAACGAGAAAAAGTCTCCATAATTACTTAAATTGCAAAAGCCTCTAAATTAGCATAAATGTAATATAGAGTCATATATGGCCAAAGTTGAAATAAAGTCGCTCAAGTTTCAAAACGTCGCAAGTATACTGTGTGAAAGATCAGATGAGGGCTTCAAACACCAAGACTCTTGACACAATATGTGATTTCTAGTTTGAAACGGTATTATCACAATCTGATTCAGCAAACACTGAAAACAAAACTATTGTCTTTTGAGCACATAGTGAAACCAAGTAATGACTCCTAACTCAAGATCCTTATCTCGATACTCCTTGTGAATCTACTTATTATCAACCTAAGGATTAAAAATTTAAAACAACCAGGTCCACTTCACATCCACATATAAGTTTCATGCCTCATGTTACCTCTTTACTACCACGATGAGTACTTCAAGAAACGTAAGTTTATTGAGATCAGCCTGATCTAATTTGACATAATATATTTGTACTTCATTACATATTCTGCTAAAAATTAATTTAAATGACTTGCTGTGAAAACAATTTCAAGTCAAATTCTGGAGAAAATATAATTAATACGCAACTTGTGAAGAACAAGGAAATTGTCCATTATAAAACAGAACTAAACCATGTAAAAATATGTGCCTAGTCCAAAAAGACTGAACTCTGGTGTGGAAATAAACAGAAAATGCTCTATTGAACATACCTCCACCACCATTCATGGTCTTCCACTGCCAGTTGAAAGAATGTCAAGCCAACACTTAGCATTGTGGTGAGAATGACAAGACTGGCAAATGCAATGAACAAAATGCCAGGAAGAGTAGATATTTTATATCCCCATACTGTAGCACACAAGTGGTGAAACTCGAGGACTGTAGCACTGAAAGGTAAAAGCCCTCCAAGAAACATTTCAGCTGGGATTTTCCGGTACCAAGCCAGCAATGGAATCTCTCTTCGGTACTTTTTTGTGACCGAAGGTGCTTGGAATCCAGACGTATAGTGGTGGCCAACCATCCCAGCAATGGCAAGTAATGGAATTGCAACAAGAGTATATATGAGAAATATGACAAATATGGTTCCAAATGGAAGAGCTGCAGTCACCCCAAAATATAAGGCCAGTGAGTTAAGGATAAATACAGTGAAGAGAAATGGAACGGGGAAAAGCAATCCAGCCAGAAGAATGCTTCTTTGCTGCAAAAGTTACATAATGCAATCACTTTCAGTTAAGAAATCTAAAAGCAATAGAGATGTATTTATGGAGCTGGCAAATCGACATTATTACCCATCCAGTTTCAACAAATTGACTGTAGATTGATGCACTGCTATAGCCAGCAATTGCAGATGTAAGAGTGTAAATTCCAAATATAGAAGTATAGATTACGCCATGGCTGTATGGATAGAGGATGCCCAGAAAAGCCAAAACAAATAAGGCAAAAACCCTGTAGAACCAGAAGCAAATCACTCACATGGTTAACATGAGCAAATAAAAAAACCTTTCGCATCATTCCCCTTGATGAATCTTAAAATTTAGGTCGCTCAACCACGGAGATGGGTGCCCTAAGTTACAGAAAAGAAACCCACTTGAGTAATACAGCCTAGCATGACCACTCTATGATCAGTGTGTCAAGAAAAGTACTTTAAACACAATTTTGAGAAGTTGTTTACACAAATATTGACAATTATAGGTAAATTACAGAATGATAGCAACATGAAACAAGGTGGTTTCACGGTACACCTCAACATCAATTGAAACATTAATGGTTCCACGAAGACCAAAGTCAGATAATTTTTTATTATTTTCTTTTTCTCTTCTCCTGTTATATTTTAGTTGAGGACAAGAATAAGACCTTATTTCACTTTCTTATATGGCTAATGATCAATAGGGAGGACAATAGACACAAGGCAAATATGGAGAACAGAAGCAAGATGGGAGGCAAATTCTACAATCACAGCTTCCCAAAATGCAAGTGAATCTTTCTACCATTTTCTAGTAGGATTTGAAAGAAGGTATCTTAGGTCCAAGACAATCATTCAGTTGTGTTGAAAAATAAGGTCACCTAGATTCTTCTGATTATCCCTGTAACGCTGGACTACTCTAAACAGAAATATAGCTGTCATCGAAATTATTTAACATGCAACATTGACAGTAAAAAAGACGACAGTTGCTGGGTCAAGGCTTCTTGAGATGCATGCTTAAAGATAAAACAGAACTAGCATCCACAGGCTACAAAACATTCTCAATATTGTAGCTACCAAAAAGATCATTAGATCACTTTATGATATCGTAGCTACCAAATTTAAATTTTATGTACATGTGGTTAAAAGAGTGTTACATAATGTAGAACAGAGTTTAAACTAAAGAAAAGAAAGAAGAAAACCGCATACAGAGTCAACAATTGTGTACCGGAGCCCAAAACAGCACAAAATAATGGCATGTTGGTGGGACATCTGAACACATCACTGTGAATGTATTTCCAACCAACCTCTTTCTCCTCGTCTTCAGCTCCAGCCGACCATCTGAAAACCAAATAAAAGACGAAAATTAAAAGAAGAAAGTCAGTCTTGAGTCCAGTGAAATCAAGCACGTCACAGGGATTGGTATAACTAGCAGAGGCACCAGGACCAGTAGTTAGTATCAAAGCCCAGAAAATTACTTTCTCATATCATTCTTGAGATGCCGCATGAAAAGCACAGTAAGCAGACCCATAACGAGAATAATCATAACGATTGAATTAACACATGAGAACCAATGAGTTTTTCGGAGTATAGGCATCATAGAAGTCTGTGAGTATCTGTCCATTCTGTTCTTGTATGGAGTAGAGATGTCTTTCCAGAACACTGAATATACGAACTCAACATCAAAGTCAACATCTTCTGTCACATCTAATACCTGACTTGGATCACCAAAGGCACGAATTTCTATGACTTGGTTGCCATTATAAAGAGCATCAAACTGAACGTGCTTAAAGAGAAAATACTTTGGCCCCTTACCATCAACAGCCCAGCTTTCATCTTCAACTTTGCCAATGAAAGCCCACAAAGGAAGATCATCATAGTACATCTGAAAGTAAAAGTCATTCATTATAGCATCCCTGAATTTTGCTACATTGCCCCTATCAAGCTTCCTGTTGCAAAGAACTACCCCAGTTTTGTTCACTGCAAATTCCAACTTATATAGAGCATTTGTCAAACGATCGCCATTCAAAACTTCCCCAAGAGTTTCCTTCTTTTCAAAAAGCCGTTCTGTACCAAAAAAAGGGGGGCAAATGATGATCGTGCCAAATGGCTTAAAGACACTTGCACTTGCAAGTCAATCAACTTACAAACTGAATTGAAGACTTAGGTGTTGTTTGATAAAGGTTTTGATAAGAGTTTTAGCAAATTTTGATAAAAGTTGATGAAATTTGTAGTTGAAAAATTAATAAAAGTTTTAGGTCCCATAAAATATGTGATTAAAATTATTTATTGACTTTGACCTCAACTCTTTAGCAACTTATTAAGCTTTACCAAGAAAGCACTTAATGTGGAAACATAGACTGTTAAGATCATGTTTAGTATCATAAATGATTTTCATCATCTTTTGTACATGTACTCGTAGTGGGGTTAGATTCCATAAATAATTATATTCAAAAGGTTTAGGTTGCTGTGTCCTGCTATTGAAACAACAGGCTTTTTTTGCTTTGTGGGACAACATACAAAGAGAAAACCTAAACTTTTGGTTTACTCAGAAGCATACACGTCACACCTTGTGAGGCATCTGCCTAGTAAAATAGCACCTTGAGGCACATACCTTAATTAAGATAATCAATATTTTAATAACAAATGGGATAAGCCTGCATATATAGGCATACATCAAAATCTATACAAGAAGGTATGGTTAATAGGCTGCAGAATACCAGATGGATGTACCCAAAAAAAGGGGTTTCAGTGCTTGCTCGCAAAAATCCCCACATTATGCAATGTGGTGTCAGTTTGCATGGAGCTTTCCATGCACATGGCAGCAAAAAGAAAGAAAAGAAAAGAAAAATATTACACTATACACCAATTATGGTATTTATGCTAAAGCCACACATACTCGTAGTTGATATGAACCATAAAAAGGAAACATTAGAAGTTCTTCAACCATTTGTAATTGGAAGCTTACAAGATTAGTGTGCATATCTAACCTGGGCGACAGAAAGGCATTTCATAATATTGGTATGTTTCACTGCAAGTGAACAACGAGCAGAACAATATCAGACATGATAAATGCAAACAGGATAACCACAAAATCTTAAATAAATACTAATCCAAGTGACACAGACAGGAAAGATGCAAAATTAAATTTGGACTAGGAGAATGGTATATTCATATCACTAGAGGAACTCATCCTAGTTGACATATTTTATGGAGTCAATAACCAGAAAGACAACTACACAGGCTACAGCCCCTCACTGCTAAAACTATTAAAGGATAAATTGACAATGGAATACATTTTTATCAGCAAGATAGCAACAAAACCTTGAAGTCAACATAGAAAACACAAATGACAGCTCATGGGCGGCCAATAAAACAGTAAATTTCCAAGTTACATGCCAACATAAAATTCTATGAGAAAACTCGAGCATTTCAATCTGGGTGTAACCTTCTAATTTCTATTATAACTCCTCACATAGTACTTCAAATATTGCATTCAGTAGAATGGAAGGAAATTAGAAAAGATCTTGGGAATCGGAATTAGAATCTAATCTGAATTGATTAGCAAAAACCAAATTAGAAAGCCCCAATTCTACTAAACTAAACATTGCATAAGAATAATATCAATAATCAGCTTATTATGATCATGCAATGAAGAACTGATAAAAACTCAATGATAACTATCCCCACGGGTACAGACAACTAGGGCTGGGCAAATCTCCCGAACCGAACCGAACCCGACGGTTCTTGTCAAATTAAATACCCGAACGGGTATCTGAATTGAGAACCGACGGGTACGGTTCGGTTATCAGTTCTAGACCAAGAACCGAAAAATCGAATAAGATCCGAATCTTTCTAATTTTTTTTTTATATTGAGTAAATCAAATTATTTTAATTTTAATTTTTTCTAAACAAATTAATAATTTCTAAATCCAAATTTTTGGCCCAATAATTTATTTCATTTCTAATTTTTTAATTTTTGGCCCAATTACCCATTTTATTGTTTCATTTCTTAGCCCAACAAGATCCAATCCACTAAATAACCCTAAACACCTACACTAAAGTGCATAACGTTGTCTTGACTCTCGTTCTCACTCTCCCAACTTCGCTAATATTCCAAAACCTATACAATCATCGCCCGACACTGTGACCTCCGCTGACCAAAACTTTGATTGTAGCGATCATTTGAACAAGGTAGTTTACTAGTCTCTAACATTCCAAAACCATTGAATGTATCATTAGTTTTATTTATATAATATTGTTATAAATGTTAAAAATTTTAATTATAGTACAGAACGGAACGGAACCGAACTGAACCGAACCCGAACGGTTCCATAATTATATTTGGACCCAACGATTCCATTTACTAGATACCCGAAAATTTTGGTTCGGTTCGATTCGGTTCTAAAGAGAACCGAACCAAACCGACCCGCACCCACCCCTACAGACAACAGATCACATATATTTCATGTTGAAATTGTTGTTCGAAAATTCAATGGAAAAATGAAGTGGAATGGAAATGGAACAAAAGCAAAATGGAAAACCAACCGGAGGCCCATTACATGTGCCATGCGGTTGCATGTACATCACCCGAGAATGGAAGCCCAGTTTCGAGTACTCCATGCGACTGCATGGAGTTATACCATGCGGTCGCATGGTAGTTCCGGAGTGACCGTTGGAGGCGGTTGTGGTTTGAAATTGGAGGCTTTTCAATTATGAATTGGCACCACTTCGCATAGCCTTGTTTCATGGTTTTATATAGGTGATTCGTGATTATTTCAAGGGTGTAAAAACCATTACAAACATGAGAAAAATACCTTGTGATCCAAATATTATTCTACATTAAATCAAACACTTGATTTCTCATTCATATTCAATTCTTCCCTGTGTTCTTAAAGTTTTGGAGGATCACGCTTATGCTTTAGTGCTAGATCCTTTACAAGGCTTGATATAATCCTACAAACCATTTGCCAAAATCCTTAAGCACTCAAATAATCCCGAGAGGAGGCAAATATAGTTTGAGGACAGCGATTACGCATTCGAGCCTTCATGTTCGTTGTGTTCTTCATCTTCTCGATTATATTTTCTGAAATTTTCTTCTCCATTTTCCTTGGTTGATGCAAATATTTTCAACATTTCATCATTCAGATTCAAGAGTTACGCAAATGTCGAAGACATATTTTGTGGAAGCCTCCAACCATTTCTCCTGATAAATTATGTCATCATGTTAAAATGGACAAACTAAAGTAGCATTCGTCTCTTTTAGCCAGCTTATTCCACATGTCCATTCATCAAAAATAAAGTAGCCAGAACCAAAATCCCTTATGAGGGAAAAGAAGTGAATTACAGCCAGCATGCTTTAAAATTGAGATCATACATTCAATGTCCTCATTTCAAATTGCTAAAGTTCAGCTAGTAAAATAACCAAAAATAAAAATGGCTCTTTTTATAATCTTTTTACTTTAATAACTCAGAATTAAACCCATTCATATAAGCAAGAAAATGCAAAAAATAAAATAAAATAATATTAATAATAATTTGATGGATGTGATGAATTAAGATCTGGGCAGGGGAAATGATACCTGGGATTGTGAAGAGGGCCAACTTTGTTGACAAAAAGGGGGACGTGATCTCCCACATTGTAAGCGGTGGCAGCTAGAAGTAAGAGGTTCAGGAGCAAAGTGATAGTTAAAAGCAGAAAATTGAAGATACCCATTTCAGTTTGCGATATACTCTTTGAGTCTTGATCTCTATCGTGCCGGCAACAGTTTTTTCTTCTCTTCTTGGGGGGTGGTGGCCCGGATGCGAGGGTGGTGTTACTTGTGTAGGGAGTAGAGGATTGGCTGTGTTTGGTAAAGAAAGGTCAATGCCAGCATTGAGTCCTACCCTGCAAATAGGGCGTCTTTGGTAAATCGCTTACTTTCTCGAAGGGTAATGTCCACTTACTACATGTACAGGGTTTTGTTTTACTGACCCCCGCCAGATCACACATGCGTGGATTTTGGCATAATTTTTTTTTTTTTTTTCATGTGAGACCGATCCGTGAGGGGTCCGTAAGACTTCTGTAAGCATTTCCCAAGGATAATTGACCATCTAGGGGTGGGCAAAAAAACTAAAATCAATTTAGGAGAGTAGGAGTGGGCAAAAAACTTGATCGAACAAAATCAGAATTAAGTCAAATTGATTTGTTCAATTCTGTTCGGTTTTCTTTCAATTTTAAAATGTTTTAGCTTCTAAAATCAAGAATTGGTCGATTCAGAGTCAATTTCAATTTTAATATCCAGAACGAACTTTGGCCCCCTTTTTACAACAATACTATGTGCTATACCGCCATCCTATGTGGTATATAGGTAACATTAAACGTTTAATTGGTCCTGTGAGGTCCATTTAATTAAACTTATTACGTGTTGTTACATAAGACGATATTTTAGCATCAATAACGTCATATAACATTAATCCCCCCGCCCCCCAAATACTGACGGTGGTGGACATATACCGATGAATTTTTTTTTCTAGACCATGTTAAATCTAATATAAAGCACACAAAGAACGTCTTTTACACGCCTCTAATTTTGTCTTCCAAATTTTCAATTTTGTCATTTGCATTGAATGAAAAATGTTATGTTGATTCTAGATATGCCCAAATTTGCATCATTAGTTTGGAAATCTTTGTACCAAAATGTCAAAATTCTTCAAACTTGAACGTCCTAATTAAAAATATGTTTAGTAACAAAAATTTTGAGAAATTTCAAGTAAAAATCAACAAATAATTTGAATTACATGTTTTGTAGGATTTACAATATTTCAATTAAACATTTTATGGAATTCATATATTTTCAATCACACGTTTCATTAATTTCTAACAAAATTTACTAAATATTTAATTTTAATCTCCACCAAATAAACAACATAAAGCAAAAGAAGATGTACTTTAATTGAAAGATCATTAGGTGAATTGAAAATATATAAATATTAATAACTACAACAATATAATTGTCTACCCATAATATATAAACATTTATAACTACACCAATAAAAAATGTCAAATCGTCAATTCATGAACCATGACTGCAAATTCAATCATGTACTGTATTTGTAATTGGGAATTAAAAAAAAAAAAAAAAAAACACACACACACACACACACACACAATCCTAATGACTTGGGAGACCAATTCAAGAAATTTAAATTTTTGTCTCACTTATCAACTAGCACCCATTTGGAATAAATTTCTGAAAGTTGACTATATTAATTAGTCCAAGTTTGTTTTGTTAAAATCAAATTTTCTGTTAGATTTTAATAACAATTGATGAAATATCACGTTGATAAAAAATTTATGTCTCACAAATGTATGATTAAAATTAATTATTAACTTTGACTTAAATTTTCATAACTTTTAACTAAACCAAACATAGTGTTGGTCCTATTGTGTAAAAACTTTTGTTTGAATCGTTAAAAAAACACAAAAATACAAAATATTAAAGAACAACAACACAGAAGATTTTTCACCTGTACAAGGTCAGAATTCTCAATCACAAAGATGTACTCGCCCGTTGTGCATCAACTAAGCTATTAGGCTTTAAATCCATTAAAATCACCAAGAAATCGTACAAATGTATGAAGAAATCAATTAATTCTTCAAATTCTCTCTAGCCTCTCATTTTACAAACTTGGCAACCAAAATCTCTCTCACAAATTGTACTAAACAACCCTCAATATTCAACAATACACAGATTACGTCACTAAGATGAAAATTTACCAATTTCAGAGAAATCCTAGTTCACACAGGAAAAAACATTCGAGAGAAGAAGAAGAATGAATAGTCTCTCTCAAAGATGGAACATCCAAAGTATAAATGCCCCGACGAAATGACACAGATCAAAGGGTTGCAAGTGAGCTATGCGTATGGCAGATATCAGCCCTTAAGTTGAGGCATAAGTCATATAACCAAAGAATGCGATTAATCAAATGGGCAGAGTAAAATACTATTTAATAAGCCCAAACACTGTAAGAAATAGCGGGACAACCCAACTCATAACACATAGGCTTAATATCATCTCGACGGAGTTTAATTGTCAAGAAAACTATTATAAGCATTGATAAGATCAATAATTCAAAAAGGTAAAAAAATAAAATGATTGGAAAATTAGAACAATATTCTCCCTGTGATACAAAAGTTTTCGTGACTGAGCCATCAGCAATATGGGCATTGTCACTATGATTTAATCTTGTAGCTTTTGAGTGTTTCATCAACTTTTTACATCAGAAGATGAGCCTTTTGCCCATCACTTGAACTTGAGTTCTCACTAAACGTGTTCGATACAAAAAAAGTGCGTAGAATTAGTTTACGTTTGAGTTGTATAACCATTTTGGTTATTACCAAAAAAATAAAATAAAATAAAATAAAAAATCTTGATCAGATCATTCTTCATTCACCCTAATTTATATGTTTGAATAAGATCAAATAATATAAGATGTAGTTCAAAGTATATTTGAGAAATTAAGATAATTAGCTAAACATATTGTCAAACAATCAATGCATGGACCATGACTGAAAATTTTAATTATTAATTGGACTTTAAAAATGACTTGGGAGACATATTCAATAAAATTGAATTCTTGAATAGCTTATCAACAAGCAGCAATTTGAAATACATTTCTGAAAGTTGACTATAATTAACGTGACATTAAAAAAAGAGTTTAATTGTCAAGAAAGTTACAATAAGCATTGACGAAATTAATAAGGAAAAATTAAGGCTAGACTCCTCAATCTTTAAAGAAGTGTGAATGTAGGTTCCTGATCTTTAAAAACGAGGCTTTGACTCCTCTACCTTTATAAGATCGTGAAATCATATCTCTAACGATTAAAGTCAAGATTTCTATTAGAATGAGACGTAAATAATAATGATAAAAAAAAAATCTTTCAATATGGTCAAGACATTGTGATCAAAATCTTATTGCTAACACAAATTTCAAAGAATACTAAGATCTCGTGAATCCCCTTTATTCCTTACAAATCTTTACAATTGCCCATTTCTCCACATGGAATATTATGACATTTTTACAGAATAACAGAAACACTATGGAACATTTGTTTGTCTTATACTAAATTAAACTTTTCTAAGCCAAACATTGGTTATAGGAAAGAGAATAATTGGTAGATGGCATATTTAGGCAAAACATAAAATATTTGCACATCTCCAGGCAAGAGAAGATCATGGATCCCTTGACTATTATTGAGAATTGAAATTTAGTCCTGAAAAATTTATAAGATGATAACTCAATTTTTTTTTAATATATATTTAAGGCCATCTTCGTACTAGATTTTATTAGCACCAATTCGAAAATAAATATATAAAAAGTGGGTTAATAGAAAAGAATCTTGATGTGGCATGTTTATAGGTGATGACAAGAAATGGATGCTGACCTATCAACAAACGACTCCATATCAATGCTGGGATGGATTAATAATATGCACAAGTTGAAAAAAAAAAATAATAAATAAAAGTTGAACTCCAATCATGAGGGCCCTCATCGTCCCGCCCCTAAAACTTTGTGAGGGAGGTAAATCTCGAGATGTGCTACAGTAGGCCAGGGAACAAGAGCTGTCTGTATATTGTGTTTACAAGAAATTTAATTCCATGTCTCAAGAATCGAACCCCCACACTGCGATTGTCAGCAAAGCGTGAGATAACATCGCTCCTGTTTTTTCCACCATTGGGCTATGTCCCTTAGGGCTAATAATAATGTGCACAAGTTGGTTCTTATTGGTGGTTGTTTAATAACGTTTTGGATTAATAGCCTTTCATAAAAGCAACATTTTAATACAATAACAATTATATATTTAACGGCTTAAGCTCTCGAATGCTTAGAGCTCATTTGTTATGATTTTTGAAAAAGTTAAGAGTTACTTCTAATATTAAAAAAGTTATTTTTGAATATATTCGTATAATTTTTTGAAATTATTTTATCTGATTATAGAGCTAGGAAGTTGATTCAAAATACTATTTGAAAAGAAGTAAAAGCAGAACCAGAATCCCTCATCAATCACTCAAAATGAAAAAGCACCTTTAAGATCTTTCTTTTTAATCCTTTTGTCATCTATTGTTGACTTGATTGTTTTTGAATTTTCATTTTTACTGTTCATAGTTTATTAATTTTTTCATACTTACAGAAGATCCCCACAAAAGGGACCAATGGTATAACATAGACGGTTAAAGGTCAGAGAAAGTGGAGTGGGAGGCACCGATTCCAGTGCTTTCCTGCTGATGACCCTCCAATATTTTTAGTTAGGTACAGATTTGTGTTTCCTTTTTTTTTTTTTTTTTTTCAAGTAAGTTACTTGTACAAAAATATATTTTTACACATTTGTTTTTTTTTTTTTTTACAAGGTGTCCTATTCTAGACTAATCCTTGGGTCTGTGATCCGGCCCCTCTTCACACAGTCCGGTTAATCGCAGGATGTGCCTCCAACTGGCCAGGGTCCGAGCGCTCCCCACCTGGTCTGACAAAGTGCCAAGCAAGCCAATCCAAGTTGCACCTTGCCTTCCAAGAATAATCCTTGCCTTCCAAGTTCCCACTTGCCTTCCAAAAATAAATCCTTGCCTTCCAAATGTTCCCTTGCCTTTCAAGAATAAATTCTTGCCTTCCAAGAGCCCCATGTTTCGAATTCACGACCTCTGCTCTATCAGATTTGACAGCGTCCGTCCTTTGCCAGTGAAGAAGTGCCCTGGGGGGCTATTTTTTTATTTTTACACATTTGTTGGTAGGCGTTGAGGTGGCATACATTTTGACCTTATTAATCCTTTTTTTATTTTTTAATATATCAGGCAAACCCCACAAAGCCTGATGGCCTCAGAGAGCTTTGTAAGGACAGGATTTCGCGTACCCTTCGAGAGAATTAAGACTTGGAGACTCCTTTGGTGGCTACTGCTATAATTAGACACGAAAGCTTTGATCTTTTTGTTG